TTGAGAGTGAACAACAAGAGAGCTGAAAAAAATCTGAATTACAGCGTGATACAGAACTGCCTGATTAACGCTCATATAATCGTTCTCTACCTTCCTTGTTAGAACCCTCTCCGAAATAAAAATGTAACATAATGTCGATGAGGGATTTATTTGTTGCATTTTAAGTAAAGAATAATCATTTCAAAAGACCAACAATGCATTTAATTGCACTACTTCTTTCAATTCTATTCCACGGAGGCGGATCTTAGAAACACCATGTGATAATTTATGTTGTACTGCTGCATTATGGGCTGTAAAGACAGGTATGTAAATATAGCGTGCTACTCATGGTATATTGGCAATTCGGTGTATAGGAACTTTATTTTACTTAAAGGAATCTCGGTCTAATTAGTATACGCATTATATTTGGCAAGTATTGAAAACTTACATTTTACATTTTAGTTAAATGTGTAATGATGACGTTTTTTCTTGTTGAATCAAATTAAATAATAATAACCTGAAAATCTAAATGGTAAATAAAGCATTAGTATCGGATTCTTGTACTCTATTTGCAAAGATTTTAAGAATAAACAAATTCTAGATTAACTCTGTAAGACTCATCAGACAAAATGTATCTAACAAATTTATATTGTAAGCTCGATCTGTTATTTATATATCCCTTCATTAAGTATAGGTTAGTGTTAAAATGTCTGGTCCAGATCAAACCTACTTTGAGGTTGAAATTATGTTTTGCTTAAATACATATATATATATTCATTTGCTGACACTGTAAAATGTCATATAGTATAGTCTTTAAAGACTCTTCTTCAAATATTTCTTCCACCGTTTTATGTCAATGTATGATTATTGAACATATATTCTTATGTCATATTGTGATTGTAGCTAAAATTCCGCTTTTGCAATGTTAATTGAACACATGTGAAACTTGAACACACAAAAAAAACGGCAAAGAGTTTGCAAAACCACTCTTGAAACAATTATAGAACAACCATCTTTTGCACAAAACTTATCAACCCTCAATGCTTTGAACCCATCTTTATCAAGGAATGTGTAGTTAATAAACATAAAGCTAAGGCACAAAAAATCGAGTTTTTAGATGTTTTGGTAATTCTAACTTTTGGAACATTGAAACTGACCTGAATAACAAATGAACAGACAAATACATATATCTGCATATAGATTCCGACCACACTATAAATACAAAGCCATCAATACCACATGGTCTTTGGATCCTCCTGGAAAAAAGTGTGTTAGTGACAAAAGTATTATAAACAAAGATCACTTTTTGGATAACAGCTTAAAAGCAGACGATCGAAGACAAGGTGGATAAATAGGTTTCTCATAAAGACAGAAATTTTTTTAGAAATGAAAATAAGAATATTTACCAAGGAATAATTCCATTTGTATCAGACTTAAGCAACATCGCCGATTTACACCAAAATATTGAGAAAAATCATAAAAATACGACATGTTATGTATAAATGTGTAAATAACATATTGTAAGAAAGGAGAAAATCAATATGTGATTTAGAAAATTAAACTACAAACGCCGTGATAAAGAGGGGTTTACCACTCAAAATTAGAAAGGTTAATAAACTTTGTGCAATAGATAGATAAAGATGTTGCAGGTTCGGATTGATTGGACCTGTTCTCTGAGCGATAATGGTAAGTGCAAACTGGCGTCCATGCCCTCAAGAAGCTGTTATGGGTGTTCCTTAGGAATTCCATCTTTTCTCTGTTATAAACAAAAATGATAATTTAATATTATACGGTTAGATCTTAATTTAGAAAATTTGAGGAACGTTCATATGGCGGTACTCAAAGAACTCTCAATATGACATGTTAAAGCGCAATTTTGTGTTTTAGTTTTTCACATGTTTGCACTTTCGCATAATTGCGTTGCATTGCATTGTCGTATAATCCTCCTATTGTTACATTTTCCGTTTTGTTGCATTGTCGTGTTGTAAATGAGCATGCGCAAGGCCATTGTGACTGGCATATTTCTCGTTTGTTAGCATTTTTATCACAATAAAACGTAATCAAATTTACATTGACGCAAAACATGAACAAATTAAGTTAAATTTGTAACAAGTTTAAACCAACCCAATTATTGAATGTATAAAGGACTCTATGTTAACTTATCGAAGCTTGCGATTTTAACATATTTAAATCTGGATTTAATATTGATCGTGAGATAATGAAAGATACCTTACTCTGTGTAGGCATATCGATTTTATTCAGATTTAAAATACACAATAATACAGGTCAAATTTAAAATAACATAAAATCAGGGTCAAATAAAAAAAGTGCAATTAATTATATATAAAATATTATATATAACATACGAGTACCTTGATAAAATAAATAAAAAGTTTTATCACACACCCGTGCCGATTTTGCAACTCCGTAAAAATGGTATTGCACGGCCGTGCATATATTTTGACGTGACGCATTAGCGATATACAAACATAAATGCTAAATGTTAGCGTTGTACCATAGGCACGTCAATGAAAAATGACTCTTTTCACTTTAAACGGTCTTTATTTTTTGATATGTGATAAATAGAATATTACATTTGTGTAAGTTCATTACTGAATTTATTGAACTCGTTGAATAAAATAATATTATGCTCGCCAAAGACTCGCATAATATATTTTTATTCAACTAGTGCAATAAATTTAGTATTGAACTTATACTCATTCAATATCCTCTATTTGAGCTAAGCATTCACGATACCAAAAAAGCACGCTTACAAAATATGTTGTTTTGAAACAAAATGTGCATTTAACATGTAAATCCGTCCGCTTAGCCCAATAGCACATGCTATACAGGTTCTATCCTCGGGAGAGGCGAAATTTCTCTGTGAAAATTGATCTCGGACAATATCATGTTGTCATTTGTCTCTCACCATTGATTAAAAAAATATGTCGGATTACAGGTTAGTTATCCAAAAAAGTCGACAAGGTGGATCGACCGCCGAGATACGGACAAAACAATTCGTTAGAAAACAATATAACCAAGTTAAAGAATAAAGTTGACGTTTTTCATTCCTAATAAAATAGAGAAAAACAGAATCCCTAAAGAAACCTCAACACGGATAAACCAAAAATGTTACAGACTCGGTTTGATTGAATATGTTCATTGACGGTAGTGGTAATCGCAAGCTACCGCCCATGTCTCTTAGCAGCGGCTTAAGCTGAATTCAACATTTTACACGATCTTGTAATCAAACGCCGAGGCGTTTCTATGGCGGTAATCAAACACGAATTAATATTTTTATTTTCTAATCTGTCTGTTAATATGTTTGAGTTTAGTTTATACAATATATTTATTCATAAACCTAAACAAATGTTTTAAACTGTCTCGGACATTTTTAACGTACAAACGTTGAGGGAACTAAGTAAATAAGTTGCTTGAATTTTGGCATGTTAACAATATAAAGATACTTGGAAAATGAGGAGACAGTCACATTTGTATTCTTAAATTACTTCCTCAGATTCTTAAAAAAACTTGCCACCCTTTTTAATTCCTTTAAATCACACTTTTCAATTAATTTTAATAAGAGTTTTCGTAGTCAATCAAGCATGTTAACTGATAAATATCTATTACGAGCCCCAGGCCGGATGACATTGATTGAAAGTTTTGCTGAGGAAGTACACTACTTCCAATAAAGCACAAAGCTGTCATGAAAATATTCCGGCTCAGCGAGTAAACATAATTATCTTTGGGCTGAGCTTAGGGCTGTAGCCCTGTGAGCAGGGCCTGAAGAAAAAAAACCGCCACTGTAATGGAAATGAATGCTTACAAGATCAACTAAAAAAAACTTTTACGAGTTATGTAAATATGTACAAACTGAAAAGGTCCTTGATAACAAAGCAATTAACAGACATTGTTATTCAAGCAAAAAAAATGATATTAAGAATCAAACAAATATATAAATAAATTAAAAAGTGTGAATGTCAGTAACATTTTAATTGCGCGTATAAAATGTACCCATTATTCAAATCAGGGAGATATAAATAGAAAATTACCGAAAATCACAATTTCATTATTTACAATAAGCGATGAAATAATAAAGTCTCTAAAATACTGAATTGAACACACATATATTTTTTATAGATATGCGTAGATTTACCAACAGAAAATTGTACTGTAACATTTATTTTCATGTATATAACCAAAAGAAAAATCGATATTACTGAGACACCACAGATGCACATGCATCCATACGTAGAGGTCATACCTAAATTCAGAAATACACTACACTCTGAAAGCACACAAAAGGACAATAATAATAAATAATTCAATTCGTTATGGAATCAATATTTTACTTCTTTTAATCATTTGTTCTCTAGGATTTCATTTGTAAAATGCCAGGACAAATGTAAATGATTTGTAATATTGATCAAAACTACTTATCATGTGACAAATATATGAATAAATAGAAGTGCAATTTCAACATTTTGTTATCATTTCAGGTTTTTATTTACCTTTAACTATCAACAAAATGGGTGCATCTGCAAGCAAGCATAAGCCACAAGAATTCCAAGAGCTTGACGACTTTGACCGAAAATGAAGAAGCTTTTAAAAGTGGCGGAATGTCAAAATTAAAAGAAAAAGTTGATGCAGACATTGACAAATGGAGGGAGGTGCCCGTAAATATTGCTGTCACAGGAAATTCAGGGGTTGGTAAGTCCTCATTTATAAATAGTTATAGAGGACTTTAAGCAAATTCTGAAGGTGCAGCTGCGGTTGGCGTAAATGAAACGACTATGGAACCAATTCCATACAAGCATCAAAACAATAACAATATTGCACTTTGGATCTTCCGGGAATCGGTACAAAGAAATTTTCGAGAGAAACGTATTAGAAAAAGTCGATTTCGAAAAGTATGATTTTTTTTTCTTATAATAACAGCGAAACGTTTTACTGAAAACGATATTTGGTTAGCAAAGGAAGTTCTTAACTTAAGAAAAAGTTCCTTTTTTATTCGTACAAAAATGCATGAAGATGTAGAGAATAACAAAAACGATTTCGGGACTATTAAATCTGACACAGTTGATAAAATAAGGAAAGAAATGACACAACAAGTCGCGAATGAATCTTTTGAAAACGTAAATGTTTACCTTATCGACAACCGTTTGGTTCTAGACTATGATTTTCCAATCCTCATAGAAACTATGATTAGTGAAGCGCCAACATTAAAACAGAAAACAATGGCATTAACTATGACAATTTTCACAGAAGATCTTATAAATCGAAAAAGGAGTGCACTTAGAAAAAGAATAATGGTTGTAGCACTAAATTCAGCAGTTGGTGCAGCAGTTCCTTTGCCAGGAGTGAGTGCTGTTATAGATACAGCAATCATCATTGGAGAAGTCAAATTTTACAAACAACAATTCGGCCTTGATGATAAATCGTTGCAGGAAAATGCACGCTTACTAGAAATAAGTGTCGAAAATCTTAAAGAGTATTTGAACATAACCAGGAAAATAGCACTGTCGTCTGTACGTTCGATTGCTACTTTTGTGGGCACCCTGGCTTTATCAGAAGTTGCCGAGAAAGTTACAACTTTTGTTGTACCTGTACTTGGAAGTATTATTGCCGCGGGGATATATTACAGTAGCACTGTTTCTGCATTAATGTCCCTATTAGACGAATGCGTTTCCGATTCACTTATTATAAATAAACAACTGATGCAAAAGATGTCTGAGTCTGTTTGAGACATAGAGCATCTCAAATAAAAAAGACAAACAAATATTATTTGCATATATTATACCTCATTTGCATAAGCCCTTCTATATTTAATATGTCGTCATCCGGTCCATAAACCGCATACAGACCGGGGCCGGTCCATAATTCTTATATGGACTGGATGACGTCATATTCAATATAGAAGGGCGGATGCAAATGAGGTTTGATATTTTATTTTGTTGTTAAATGATTTATTCTACTGAATTTATTGTTTTGTTTCACATAAATGTGTTACATGTTGATCAAAAGTCATGATTTGTCTTTAAATTGATTATAAATTTTATTTATACAGTTTGTGAAAATATTAAAGTTCGTGTTTTTTGCCTGTTTAATTTGAATAACAAAAATTGAATAACAAAAGAAGAACATGGTTTTATTTTTGCTGTATCGCTTGTAACTAATAACAAAAAATCCGACTAGTGTTTGAGATATTTCACAGACTGAACAAATAAATTATTATTCGAAAGCAAATTATAAAAAAAATGACAGCAACAAAAGGGATGAAAGGATTTAGATTCGGTATAATAATATTATAATATGAATAATATGTTATAACAAATAAAACATGACCTTTCGGGCAAAATGCAAGTTAACGGACTGGTTGGTCAGACTGAGGAAGGTATATGGCCCGAAGCGCAGCCATATACTTTCCTCAGTCTGACCAACCAGTCCGTAAACTTTCATATTGCCCTCAAGGCCATGTTTTATTTGTTAATTATGATGTTTGTAATTCTACTGCGTGCAGTTGTTTGTACTGTTGTTTGCAAGTATACTTAATATAATCTTCGGACATGTTACTTACGTATCGTTGTCCTCGGCCGCAGACTTGCTTTTATTTTTTAATATTATAACGTGTTGATATCCATGCAGTACGGAAAGTTAAGTTCAGACTTTGGTTTGATAATAATAGTTGTTTTTGTGTTGTTACATGTCATCACGTGCTGGTAAACCAAGATATTACACATTCTTTAAGTTAACCAACTTTACATTTATATAAATATCTTGAACTAAATTGTTACGCCCAATTGTTAGAAATGTGAATACTAAGTAATATTGTCAACAAATTAATTACCAATCAAAATTAGGTGATTGTTATTCATAACAACAAAAAAAATGTTGTAATTGAATGTCACATGACAAGTTATTTTACTCCAGATAAGTATTATCACGACACGACTTGATGATTGCAAATATGCACATGCTTCTCCAGGGTGGTCATTCAACATGACCAGTGATATAAGAAATGATATATAGTTGCAAGACGGAACATTTTAGCAACAGATAATATTTTCATAATTTCCAAGCTAGTTCCCTTCTTCTCTTATTTCAAACCAATTTAAAAACAAATTGAAGAAGTGCAAAGCGCACAATTTTCTCTATCCCCGTTACCATGGTTTCCATCTCAGTAAGACATAATATGTTTGAATATAAGTTCCGCAGTTTTAAAGCATTGAAAATGGTGATTTTGTGTAGAGCATTCATGATTTATGTCACGTTATTGCAAAGTCGCTCCTCTCCCAACATTTATTTTCTTTGATTTTGGAGGTAGGGTACATATACTTGAACAAGACTTGCATGCAACGTTTTGATCTGAAGTTATGCTCACAACACTAGCTGATCGATACAAGTATGGTTTATGATTTTAGTGGAGCTCGAAATCTAGATTTGGTATGAAGCAACTTTTACATTTTCGATTGTGCACAATAAACTTAATTATTAAAAAGTGTCTTAAAAGTTTGTGTTTTAAACCTTGCTAAATGATCCAATAAATAAGAAGCGTTTGTGAGTGATCTCCCTATATTAGTCATAATTGGACCTAATCTTATCAATTTATCAATTTTTAAACAATATCAAATTAATATTGTTCTCCATCTAGATTTGTTTTTATTTTTCAGAGTAAATAAAAACATCCATATCAAATTTATATTGCACTCTATCTTGACTTTATCTTAGTTTCAGAGTAAAAACATCCATAGCAAATTTAAAATTGCACTCCATCGAGACTTGTTTTTATTTAGTCAAAACATGCATATCAAACCTATATCGTAATCTGTTTAGCTTTTTTTTTCATTTTGCGTGTCAAAAAATCTAAGTGTCAATTTCAAATTGCTTTTGAAATAATAAATGTTAATAGACAGATGGATGGGGCCTAGACACGTTTCTTATGCAGTTGACTGTTCTATCGTAAAAGGGGGTTGTGTGCAAGCACAGGTGCATTTTTTCGCAACCGGACCGATGCGGGTGCGAGAATGACTTACCTTCCATAAGTCCGTACCCAGATAACGTAAAAAGGTGGCATTTGAAGTGGCAAAATGGTTTTAAAATAACGGTTTAGTCTCGAAGTACAAACCGATTGATGTTAGTTTCAAATTTCAAATCTAATTGTCAGTTTTGCCAATTGAAGCTATTAAATATTCACAAAAGTAACTCATTAAATACAAGAATGTGGTGTGGTGCTTGAAGGATGCGTCTTTCTGTAGGGAAGATAATTGAAATATAAGCCTTTTCAAAATTACTTTAAGGATAATACATTAAAGATGATCGCTCTTAAAAAGTGTTTTAAGATGACATGTTTTATATCATATCCATATATCATTTACGCATATTCTATCTTTAAAATTTATGTTACTATCCATATTTTTATTAATTGTTAGTCTGAATTTTAACCACTGTCGCCACCGGGTGCAACCGGTCCCGTGCATTGAAGCATGGCAGACTTGCGGACCGCTTACATGATGCAGCTAATGCTAGACGAGAGCATTCAAAGCCTTTAATAATGTTTTTTTTATTTATGCCAATACTTTCGAGTATATGAAACATTATTGTTCAAAATTTCCAACGCTTCTACTTAATGGCAAATATTGCAAGAATGTGTTCCCTATACCTTTCTACCGATGAATCGACTAGTAAGAGGCCGCACAATATATTTCATTATTTTCAATATTTATCAATAATTTAAAATACGATAATCAGAACCTCAGAGTAGTCTAGATGACATGACATTGAAGGTAACGCATTACCAGAATAATACTAAACACGTATAGAGCAACATAAAACCAGGTGTTTCTAAGGTTCAACGAACATATGTCTGTGTATGCGTTTTTCACAAAATTGTTGTTTGTTTGTTTTTGCTTCGATGACGCTCTTAGGTTTTTGAAAGGCGTATTACATTATATGCTCAAGACAAATGCATACTTACAGCACATTGCTGTTATTGTATTATGCAAGCTAAAATGAGAAATGTTGTTTTTCATAAATGCGGAATTGCTGTTTACACAGAAACAAAATCGACCGACAGTGCTTGACATTTATCGAAAGCAGATTCATAGCAAAACAAAATCACGATAACACGAATCGAGGTCGCGAAAGTACAATGCAAGGACGAGACATTAATATCGCGCTGATATCTTTCAGATATTTTATGTAATATTGAAGATCAGTTCGAATTTGTCCATCATAATTGAAACAAGGACTGTTACACCTAGGGCGACAATTATTATCAAACAATACAAATATATTACTATTTGAAACATTTGAATACATTTTTTATTATAAAAAAAACACCTTCTAGTGTTTTTTATCTAACTTATTATTATAAAATTTTCTTATTTGTTTATTTTAATAATCAGTCCTATATATTTTTTAATACTTTCAAATTTGAATACAAATTTGGCAAAACGACATATACAAAACGAATTTAATCTTACTGGTTTCTTTCATTATCTTATTCACGCATTTTTCTAAATATAATGAAGGACATATTCCTTTTTTAAAGTATTTTAGTCTTTTTACTTGTATTGAACAAATATCACTTTGTTATAATGATTACAAATTATGAAGTGTTATTTGCTTACAAATTTATCCGATATTTTCCTATTGGCAAATGACATGCTAAAACGCTTCGTCACTTTTGAGTAATAACACATAGGTCGAAACTTAGTTTTAGGCCTTGAGGCGTAGAATATAATGAGAAGAAGTGAAAACATACTGATTGGATCTGCTAATTTCAATATGTAATTCACAACATAAAACCGTTATATTGTGAAACTTCTTTATTAATGATCGCTAATTTCTATTTATTTATGATCGCTAATTTCTATTTAGGAAAAGGTCGCTGTTAGAGTAAGATATCTGTTACAAACAATTTGTATGCATTGTTTAAAAATTTCAAGTTATAATAAATTCAATATGATTTTTCTTATCTTATTTGTAAATATTCAAAATATCTACTTTTAAATAAGCAAAAAAATGTTATAATAATAAGTTAGATAAAAAACACTAGAAGGTGTTTTTTTATAATAAAAAATGTATTCAAATGTTTCAAATAGTAATATATTTGTATTGTTTGATAATAATTGTCGCCCTAGGTGTAACAGTCCTTGTTTCAATTATGATGGACAAATTCGAACTGTTCTTCAATATTACATAAAATATCTGAAAGAGTGATCCATTGGAAGCATTTATCACAACAAAATTAGATTAAAATTGCAGACCCGGTTTGATCGAGTCTGTACATGAGGATTAATGATAACGTGCAACATCCCTCACGCCCCCTAGATTTTCAACACAATACTTTGATGCAATTCATTGAGTAAAGAGATAACATTTTGCGGCTTAAATAACCATAAGAATACAATGGGATAGCCATCTTAGTACCAAGTTTAAGTTCGACCGTCCATCCTATCGTCCGTTTTCCCGAACGCCTTTAAATGGGAAAAGGGATGAGCGTTTGCTTACAAGTTGACGTAATGAGGTTCATTCCGTGACGACAGCCGGTGTTTGATTCCTTTTTCTTGAATATTAAATATTAATAATATTTCGGAAATAAATTACGATAATATTTTCTCATATGAGCGTATGAATTTACAATTACATTCAATACGGAAAAAAACGTGATCCTAAAAACGCAATTCAGTCATAGAAAGGTGCACAAAGGACATCATTTAAAGCACGCGACAGGTTTTGCATGTGGGGTGTTAGACAGATTTTAGTAGCACTGGTGTAAACAATAGATAACCGTGTCTGATATACAAGAAGATTTTTATATTTGATAGTACACTTTATCCAGTTCTAACTAAATTGTTATCAATTTCATTTTGAACATTTTTTATCCTCTTTTTAACCGCTATTCTTTATAAGACGGCGCGTGCACGACATGTTATTCATGAAAATAATTACCATGTAAGTTATAAAACAGATTAACTGATTGAAAAAAGTACGTTTATTTTAAAATGTATCACAAACATTTGCGATAGGTTATTTTGAAGGATTCTGTGACTGACGATTGTTTTCTTTCACCTTGATTTTTTACTACATTTAGTGGTCCTATACCTAGAGTCTAGGCGAATATGCAATCTTTAGTTTAATCTAGTAGTTATATCTTTTATAAATACGAAAACAATACGTAACTAAGAATTGATAATATACATATCAATTTATTCATAACTATTATTTGATATTACAGACATATTTTTGCTATTTGTAAAATAAGAGACAGTTTGTCCTCAAATTCATTCGAACGAACATTATGGAATTCGCACCAATATTTTAATGGACAATCATTACCAATCATTCAATTTTTTTGTTATCCAATTTATTTTGCTTCGACCAGACGTTTCAAAGACAAACATTTCAGACTTTCAGACACATAACAAGAGCATGGAGAGAAAATTGATTTGTGCTTCGCATATTCAACTGTAATAGAGAACGATTTTCAATTCTGATTTTGTACATTACCTGTATATGTTCACATCATTTGGCGGCGGCTTTGATATGCAGCATCAACATTTAACTTGTATAAACTATAAGGCCCCGCTTGATAATCCAGCCCTTATATTATGAAAGCGCCTATATTAATGAATCGGAACAGAACATAATCTTATTTTAGTTTTGTACAAAATCACAATGCAATAGATATACAAGCAGCGTAGTCGTTACGTTAATATTCAATGAATAATTAAGAATGAAATATAACACTTTGCATCACATTAAGAGATGGAGAGTGAACAAGTCTGAGCTGAATAAAAAAATCCCGGATTCCAGAGTGATACAGCAGTTTGCCTACCTAAATGACGCTCATGAAAACGATATCTACCTTCCTTGAAGGGACCCTATTCGAAAAGAAAATTGAACATAATGTCTAGGAGGGATTTATTTGTTGATTAAAAATTCCCTGTTGATTAGAAGTAAAGAGTTGGTATTTCAGAAGACCAACAAAGCGCTGATATGCAATACTTCTTTCAATTCTATTCCTTCCAAGCGGGTCTTAGATACACCTTGTGACATTCTGAAAAAAAAGACTAGCTACGCCCATGACAATAAAGCTGCACTGTAGAATTATGGGCTGTAAAGACAGGTATATAAATGTATTGTGCTACTCCGGGTATATTGGCAGTGTTGTGTATTGGAGCTTCATTTAAGTTAAAGGAATATCGATTTAATTAACAGACGCATTATATTTGGTAAGTATTGAAAACTTATATTTTTAGTGAAACTTGTATTGAAGACTTTTTTCATATTTAAGCAAATCAAATAACAATAACCTGAAACTTTAAGTGGCTAATAAATTCAAGTTTAATTGCAATAGTATTAGATTCTTGCGCTCTATTGCAAATGATTAAGTTTTCAAGAATAAACACAATCTAGATTTTTCTCACGTTAAGACTCATCAGACAATATTGTATGCTCCTTCTGTTCTTTTGTCTTTGTTAACTATAGGTTGGTGTTTGTTAGTCAGCACTAATGAATTTAAATCTGTATGGCTCGGCGCTAACCTCCTTAGAGGTTAAAATAATGTTTTGCTTATCTAAAAATATACAAAGAGCAAGTATGATACCCTGATTTAACAGAAAATATTAACTTACGAAATGAAGTAATTCTACAAAAGAATTCAAAAAAAGGAAACGAGCGTTTTGGTTTTAAGATAGCATGCGCACATTAACAGCTACGTTTCACCCTGGAAACGCACTTGGGTCGCATGTCCAGTGTAACTGGGATATTCTTCGATTGTAAGTGCTTGTTTTAAAGGATAAAACGTTATTAATTTGACATGGCTCAAAACATGAACAAATAAGTTTAATTTGTAACCAGTTTGAACAACCCAATTATTGAATGTATGAAGCAATGAAGCACCTTATGTTAACTAATCAAAGCATGCGATTTTTAAAATAGTTTAGTATGGATTTATTATTGATCATAAGATTACTCATTATTAATTGCCGATATCTTACTCTGCGTATGCATATAGATGTTTATTTAGATATAAATACACAATAATACAGGTTAAATTTTGAATGAGATAAAATCATTGTCTTTTAAATAGAAGTAGTAAAATAAATTCTATCTTATAAAACCTTTGATGAAATAAATAAAATGTATTGATCTACGCATTTTATGGTAAACATTTACAAGACAAAAAACACAAAATATGCTTTTCTGAGACATGATGTGCCTTTAACATGTACGTCCGCCCGCTTAGCCCAATAAGAAGAGCATTGGATAAGTAAGATTAGTGATCCAGATTGTATCGTCGGGAGAGACGAAATTTCTCTGTGAAAATTGATCATGGACAATATCATATTGTAATTTGTCTCTCACCATTGATTAATAAAAATATGTCGGATTACAGGTTACTTATCCAGGAAAGTCAGCCGAGATACGGACAAAACAATGTGTTAAAAAACAAAAAAATCAAATAAAAGAATGAAGAAGACTTTTTCAAATTCTAATGAAATAGAAAAAAACAGAATCCCTAACGAAAGCCCAAAACGGCGAAATAAAATTGTTTAGGGCTCGATTTGATTGAGTCTTTTCATGGACGGTAGTGGTATTTGCAAGCTACTGATCACGCCATGAGCACTGGCTCAAGTTGAATTCAACATTTAACACGAACTAGTCTTACTCTAATTTTCAATAAGTAAACAACTATGTTGTGCATTGTAGCGAGGTTATTTTATTACGAGATCGTTATAACAGGAGGATATATCACAATGAGAAATACATATGTATAAAGCATATCACGATCAAAACTGGTGTACTATGTCCAAGACATTTCATGATAAAATGTGTACTATGTCCAAGACATTTCATGATAAAATGTAAATTTAACAAATCTTAACAGGTTCGATCGTATATTCGTCTCAGAAATACTGGCCGCCGGCGTAAAACCCCTTTTATCTTTTTTTAAATGTAAGAGGAACCGTAGAATCCGTGGGCATGCACGGAGGAAACTCAAGATTGATCCTCCTCAGACTATTCCTCGGAATATTGAACAACGGACCGTGCTCAGACATGCTAACATACATATCGAATATATACATATCAATATAATTTCCTTTATCAAAATACAAGTTCTGTTCCACATATTCAAACTTGAAATAAACATATGCATTCAATAAATCTTTCATTAACATTGTATTTTTTTCCTTATAAAACAATTTGCTTAATTATGTCTTTAACATAAGCTAATAACATTATAAATATTGAATTTGAATGCTGGTGATCTCGTAAGAGAAATATCGCTAGAACTGATTTTCATACTCTGCCTAGGGTATATATACCCGTGTATGAAATACACATGTATACACTTGAATACATTCAAGCCTTAAAAACGGTTTATGTAATCCGTTACAGTTAGACAATGGTTCTTCTCTATACGATGTAACGCGGAGAACCAGTAAGTAAAATCATCGCAAATGCATTAAAATGGCGTTTTTCAAACTCGCTGATTTATCATTTTATCCCCGAATCTCTATCTCTTCAGTCACAATATAAAGTTTTATAACTCTGATAGTTAGTTTGAAAGAATTATGCCCCTTTTTATTAACTTAGAGAATATGAAAAATGTACCAAAGTGACTATTGCTTTAGTGTTAATCAATGAGTTGTCTTCATACTTGGAAACGACAATCCTTAACAATTTTCCTTCAAGATTACTAGACTGACCTTGACCTTGAGTAATAAATGACCTTAAGCCTAAAGTTCCAATTATTGTATTTTGCTTTTTTTAACTGCTTAGACATTTGTTTTAAACATGGTTTGTCTTTATATTTAGACACAATAGTCTTTAGTACAAGACATTTATGGAAATCAAATAACTATGACCTTGACATTGAAGGTGTAGTCATTGAATTTTCACTGTTTTTTGCGATAATGACGCTAAAACTTTGTAATAAGTACATGTATATGGAAATTATTAATACCTGGACAAACATGACATGTCAATGAAAATAACAATCAATCTGTGCATGCGCGTGTGTGTGTGTTTCTTTGATCAAATGTATTAAATAATATAAACTATCAGACATATATAAAACAAACGACTGACTTTCGTGCATTCTTGTAAACAAAATAACTTAAGAAAGTAATAATATACTTACGAAAGCCTAATAGTGTCAAATGAAATAAAAAATAAAAATACAAAGGCGTTATAACGCGAATAAAGGCGTTATTACGCGAATCAAAAGGCGTAATAACGCGAATAAAGGCGTTATAACGCGAATCAAAAGGCGTAATTACGCAAATCAAAAGGCGTAATAACGCGAAAAAAGGCGTAGCAACGCAAATAAAGGCGAAGTAACGCGAATAAAGGCGTTATAACGCGAATCAAAAGGCGTAATAACGCGAATCAAAAGGCGTAATAACGCGAATAAAGGCGTAATAACGCGAATCAAAAGGCGTAATAACGCGAATAAAGGCGTTATAACGCGAAATAAAAGGCGTAATAACGCAAATCAAAAGGCGTAGTAACGCGAATAAAGGCGTTGTAACGCGAACCAAAAGGCGTACTAACGCAAATTAAAACGCATTATAATGCCAATTTAATACCATATTTATACTAATCAAATGGCCTAGTAACGTGAGAAAGCAAGACCAATATTGATCTGAATTTATTGCTCAAGATATAAACTCGTAAAGAATAATATAATACACATTTACAATATCTAACATTCCGATTTTGCGCAGTAATAATGCAAACTATTTGTCATAAACTAATGAAGACTCTTTTATATTTGCCAATTTAAGGTGTCTTGGTGCCTTATAGGTCCATTGGACTGGACGTTAATACAGTTAATCTGAATTCACATGTATCACATATTGATTTTACACATGTCACTATAGTAAATGAATTTCTTTTCTTATCTTATCTTATCTTATCTTATCTTATCTTATCTTATCTTATCTTATATCTTATCTTATCTTATATGTGCGTCATATGTTCAATTATCTTCGGATATATCCTATTTGTTTACCTTATAAAATCTAGTATCTTCTAATTATGTGAATGCCATTCCTAATTAAGCTATAGGTAATTAATAGGCTATAGGTAACAAGATTTGGGAAAACGTAAGGTATAAGTTAGTCACATTAGGGTGATTATTGATAAGTATGTTTAAATGGGGGATTGTGTTTTAGTTAAGTCACAATAATAGGAGACATTGCCTTCTTTGTCTATGTAGAAAAGTATCTATAGTTGGGTGATATTTAACCTCTAATCTGACGAAAGCATTTCCTAATAAAAGATTTAAAAAATCAGACTGTGGCCTTAAGACGTATCCGTGCAGAATTGAAAATAAAACGTTCGCATTGATCGATTTATTTAGATCAAATTGTTCTTCCTATCTTACATTACTAGGCCACTGTTTGGAATTTATATGGTATTAATTAAGCGTTATAACGCCTTTTGTTTTGCGTTATTATGCCTTTTGATTCGCGTTATTACGCCTTTTGATTCGCGTTATAACGCCTTTATTCACGTTATTACGCCTTTTGATTCGCGTTGCTACGCCTTTATTCGCATTATTACGCCTTTTGATTCGCGTTACAACGCCTTTATTCGCGTAATTACGCCTTTTGATTGGCGTTAAAATGCGAATAAAGGCGTAACTACGCCTTTTGTTTCGCGTTATAACGCGAATAAAGGCGTTACTACGCCTTTTGAATCGCGTTATAACGCCTTTATTCGCGTTAGTACGCCTTTTGATTCGCGTTATAACGCCTTAATTCGTGTTATAACGCCTTTTGATTCGCGTTATAACGTGAATAAAGGCGTAACTACGCCTTTTGTTTCGCGTTATAACGCCTTTATTCGCGTTATTACGCCTTTTGATTCGCGATATTACGCGAATAAAGGCGTAACTACGCCTTTTGCTTCGCGTTATAACGCGAATAAAGGCGTTACTACGCCTTTTGATTCGCGTTATAACGCCTTTATTCGCGTAAGTACGCCTTTTGATTCGCGATATTACGCGAATAAAGGCGTAACTACGCCTTTTGTTTCGCGTTATAACGCGAATAAAGGCGTTACTACGCCTTTTGATTCGCGTTATAACGCCTTTATTCGCGTAAGTACGCATTTGATTCGCGTTATAACGCAAATAAAGGCGTTAGTACGCCTTTTGATTCGCGTTATAACGTCTTTATTCGCGGTATTACGCCTTTTGATTCGCGTTATAACGCGAATA